CCCCAAAACCCCAAAACCCCAAAACCCCAAAACCCCAAAACCCCAAGATAGAGGAGTCACATTGAAACTCATGAATCTCAAGTAAAATTAAGAACCACAACTAATAAGCAATAGCTGAGTCACTTCAAGTTGAAGCTTAATTGGCATCAGCTTGCTCTTGTTGAGCTGTGAAGTAAGATTCAAATCTCTTGTTGTTGATGTACTTGATAATAGCTCCTTCTATCGGTTTCTCAAGTAAATATTGGTGCACTGCGTGGATTGCATGTCCACAAGTCCATGTGTCATGCCCAAGCTTATTTAATACAGCGTTTGCATGTTGTGCAGGAGTAATAGTAAACAAGAACCTTCCATCATTCATATTAGTCTTGATAGAGCCGCTGTTGGTGACAAGAATATCAATTTTATGCTTGTATTCTTCGCTGAGTGATGTTGAAAACTGAGTCATGTAGGCTTTGCTTGCACTGTAGACTGTTAGGAATGGACAAGGAAAGTAGGAAAGATATCCTCCAACATTTACCATTCCAGCTCTAGTCTCATTAGCCAATAATTTCGGGATAAAGATCTTTGCCATCAAAGTGTTAGCAGTGATATTGATGTTGAGAGTAGTCATTACCCCATCATCTTCCATATCTCCATGCATGCCTGCAAAGAGAACTCCAACATTGTTAACAAGAATCGAGCACTTCTCTATTTCATCAAATTTTTCTGTGAGTTCTTTGATAACTTCGCTTGTGTAATTTTGATTAAAATCAAACACAATAGTCTTTGTCTCTGCTCCTTCATAAGTCTCATTAATCTCTTTCGCTACAGCTTGGAGCTTCTCATCGTTCCTAGCTACCAAAACAACTTTCATGCCTCTTCTGGAAAGTTCAAATGCGAATCCTTTACCGATTCCATCAGTAGCTCCTGTGACGACACACCAGTTGGAGCCATATCTTTTCTTGAGGTCATAAGACGGTCTGACTGTATATCTGAGCATGCCTCTGATATCTTTCAAGAGTTTAAATCCAACATAGCCAGCTCCAATTAAAGCAAAGGTGTACACTAGCATCGGATCTTTCTCATGAATTTTGTCTAAACTCTTCTTAACTTCTGCTACTTTATCCTTTACAAATTCCATTGATAAAATTTAGATATGTTCAAAATTCTTTTGCTATAATGGGGTTTTGGGGTTTTGGGGTTTTGGGG